CTCTCCATGCCTTGCTCCCTGCCTCTGCCCAGCCACAGGAGCTCAGCTTCCCTGCGCTGCCTGGCCACTGGAAATCAGGAGGACAAGGCTGGACCCTGCAAATGCACAGGTCCATGGGAGGAAAGGGAGGGGAAGGTGAAGATAACTACAGCAGGTAAATGTAGGGTGAACACTGGAAAGCCCTATGGTTAGGGAAGGGCACAGGTTTAGACTGGACATAAGGAAGACACTTTATGATGAGGGTGGTGAGGCACTGGAACAGGATCCACAGAGAAGGTGTGGAATCACCCCATTCCTGGAAATGTTCAAGGCCAGGTGGGACAGACCTTTAAAAATCTTTGTCTAGCAGAAGATGTCCCATGGCAGGGGGGTTGGAGCTACATGGTCTTTGAAGGTCCTATCAAAACCCATTCTATGATTATTATTATTCTATGACCTAAAATAACCCACAGAAAACACCATGAAAATTCTGGCACTTCACACTTTCTTAGATTTTCCATGCTTAACTCCAGGCAGAGGAAAGGAGACCAGCTGATGGGGATTCAGTCATGTTCTGTTTTGTGGAGTTAGGTCACTGCTTCCATAAAGACCTGCCTCAGCTTTCAAAGATTATGTCTCACATCCTGATATATTTCCACAGATGTGAACTTTGATCTTCTGCCTCTCATGTGTGTATCCTGACTTGGGGCTTATACCATACACTGGAATAATTTATCTCCGCATCCTTGCCAGGCAACCTCAGGAATAATATAAAGCCAAACCTCCACATCCCAGGAGAATTTCATCCCACAGGAGAGATGAAAAGAGTGCAAGGGTCTGCATGGGAGGGGAAGAGTACTGGGGGAAGTGGAAGTCTGAGAACAGGAAGATTTTCTCTTGGCTGTGCTTTGTATAATGCTTAATCATACAGATTTATTTGGCTACCTTCAGGCTCAGATGGGCTTTTACAACATCTGTTGCAAAGTAACACTTGTCATTTTGAACAAAAGGGCATCACTGTGTGGGTAGAGCTACATCACAAGGTAAGAATGAAAAAACAGAATAGGAAATTAGAGTCAGTCAAATGTGTGAAATGAGAGTGGATGAGAGGGACATAAGGCTCAGCCCTCTCAACAGCAACAAGGTAACCAGCTTTCCTTTTGAAAAATAGGGCCACAGCTACAAAAAACTAAGGACAAAGCCTCATTTTCACAGAATCATGGAATACCAGGTTGGAAAAAATACCAAGGATCACCTGGTTCCAACTTTCTTGGCAAAATCATTGTCTTGACCACACGGCCCAGCACCCTCTTACAAATCTTACAAGTGTCCAAGCTTGGGGAATCCACCACTTAGTTCCCTGGGGAGATTATATTCTCATTGTGAAAATTTTTCCTCTTGTGTCAAATCATAATCTCCTCAGGAGCAATTTGTAGCCACACCCCTTCACCTTTTCCTTGTGATTTCCTGTAAAAAGGGAGTCTCCATCTACTATGTTGCTGTGGTTTGACACTGGCCAAATGCCAGGCACCCACAGGAGTCGCTCACTCACCCTCCCCTGCTACAGCTGGGCGGAGGAGACAAAAATAACAAAGGTTTCATGAGTGAGATAAGGACTGGGAGAAATATTTCAAGGGCAAACCAGGCTCAACTGAAGTTGCAAAGTGAATTACTAAAAAAATCAGAGGAGGATAATGAGAAGTAAAATAAGTTCCTGCCCCAGCCTCTTCCTCCTTCCCACTGACTGTGCAGGAAGACAGGGCATGGGAGTTTGGTCAGTTCATCACCCGAGGTTTTCTTCTGCTGCTCAGGGAGAGAAGTCTTTCCCCTGTGAGGCCATGGAGTCCCTCCCATGGGAGACAGTTCTCCATGAACTTTTCTGGCATGGTTCTCTTCCCATGAGCAGCAGTCTTCCCAAAACTGCTGCAATGTGAGTCTCCCCCACAGGCAAGCAGTCCTCCCAAAACTGCCGTGACGTGGGTCACGCTTCCCTGGGGTGCAGTCCTCCAAGGGCAGGCTGCTCCAGCCTGGAAGCAAGGGCTCTCCCTCTCCATTTGGGCCTCCCACTAGATCACAGCCTCCTCCAGGCATCCACCTGATCCAGCATGGGCACCTCCCCCACAGGCTGAGGGTGGATCTCTGCATTCCCTGTGGATCCCCACGGGCTGAGGGTGGATCTCTGCATTCCCCATGGATCCCCACAGGCTGAGGGTGAATCTCTGCATTCCCCATGGATCCCCACGGGCTGAGGGTGGATCTCTGCATTCCCCATGGATCCCCACGGGCTGAGGGTGGATCTCTGTATTCCCTGTGGATCCCCACAGGCTGAGGGTGAATCTCTGCATTCCCTGTGGATCCCCACGGGCTGAGGGTGGATCTCTGCATTCCCTGTGGATCCCCATGGGCTGTGGGTGGATCTCTGCATTCCCTGTGGATCCCCACGGGCTGAGGGTGGATCTCTGTATTCCCTGTGGATCCCCATGAGCTGTGGGTGGATCTCTGCATTCCCTGTGGATCCCCACGGGCTGAGGGTGGATCTCTGCATTCCCTGTGGATCCCCATGGGCTGCAGGTGGATTTTCAAATGCACTAATCTGAATGTATTGGGTAATCACACCAGTAATACCTTTTAGGAAGGATGAAATTCCTTACACAGACAGGATGTAACTGTGAAAGCATACTGAATTTCAGTGGGAACTGCAATCTTTAAAAAAAAAGAGATGGAAAAGAAATGTGGGGTTTTTAAGCTGCTGAATTAATGTAAAAACAACATTGTTAGGAACAAATGCACAGGGTTTGATTTCACAGAGGTGGCTCTGAGTTACTGTGTTCAGCAAGGCACCCAGTCCCAGTGGGCCACTCAGACCTCCCCCTGTACTTGATCATTTCCTCTCACCTCCTTGCCTAGTTTGGCCAGTCAAGCCTCATTGATCCATCCCCTGAAATTATACCAGGCTCTTCCCCTGAGCTCAAACAAAGCCTATTTCTCTTTCTGGTTTCAATCTTTCCTTGGAAACTCACTAAGCACTGGAAGTAGGGCATAGGGAGGTCCTTAAAGGTCAGAAGAGAGTTTGCAAGCCTTCAGCAGAGCTGATGGTACAACACATCCCTTGAGCATGGAGTGTCAGAGCAATTTTTGGAGCAATATGTGTATGTCAAGCCCACTTCTTCCTAAGAGGAGTCATGCATCAATGCCAAACAAACAAATCCTTGTAATAACCAGCATTGGCTGCAGTTTTGAAGGACTGAATAAACTTGGAATTCTTTCCTCTTGACAGTTATGACAAGCAATACCAAAAATGCTTCAGTTAGGTCTGGGCTAAAAATATTTTTTGTGTTCTATTGAGATTTTAAATACTGTCTTCGCTGTCCTGAAATCATTATTTTGCAGAATAACTGGGCAGCAAGAATATCCTCCTCATCCCAGGAAATCCAGTAGTTTGATAATTAGGCTTTCAAAGAACACAGGGGAATTCCAGCTTCAATCACACAATTCATATGACAATCTGACCCTCAACTTCCCTACTCAATAAGGACTTTAATCATAATGCTGGTGTGGGCTGAATTTTTCTGAAGATTTCTTCAGCATAAACGCCACTGTGAACAAATAATGTTATGTTATTTGAGCCAGAAAACTGAAGAGTGACTAGTTGTCAATGGCCTATTTTAAGGTAGGGTTGATGAAGTCTCTATATTCTGTGAAAATGAGTTAATTATTTCTGTAAAATAAAAACATGAGTATGGTAACTGGAGAGACAGTCTGCATCAGGGACCTGGATTTATTTTTTCCATTTCCAACCAGAGTGCTCTACCTACTGTATTGCCCTATCAGCTATTTTGCTTTCTCTACTGATGAATTTGCTATAAAGTGTGCCAAGCTGTAATAAGATCTATTTTGCAAGAGCAGCAATCCTAACGTGCAAATATCAACTTTTGCCTACTTAAAATTCTGTTGTACTTAAGACTGGATGCAATTTTTTTTAACACTTCCCTCAAACACCACTTTAAAGGTGAAAGGGGGTCTGTGCACCTGCTCTGATTACATCTATAGTAACTTCACAGGGAATTCTGCAAACACACATTTTTAGGAAGGACTCATTCATCTTGCGAGTCTCACAAGCACATGCTCAGCCTCAGCAAGCTCCACGGCAGAGATCTCGCTTCAGATGCGCAGTTCACACAGCGCAAAGACTGATTCCTTGGCACAATCAAAGACTGATTCCTTGTCACAAGCTTTTTAGGTAATCCATGGGAGAGCCCTGCTGAAAGTTGCGGAGCCCAGAAGGGCTCAGGCCCTAAAAAAAAGAAGGCAAAAAAAGAGCAGGAACTAAAGAAAAGGGTGTCCCCTTCAGCCCGAGTCAGGAGTGCAGCGGGCTGCCTGCGGGCTTCACGGCTCGGCCTCGGCGCCCCAACACACAGCACCGTTCCACAAGGCAGCCTCGCTGCCACAGTCACCAGGCATGCCTCGGGCCTCGGGGTTGCTGCAGGTAACAGGACAGGTACCAGCAAGTGACACTGTCCGTGTGCCACCTGCCGCACGCAGCACAGGGCCCGCCCGGGCTGCTCCCGAGGCTGGGAGGGGCCCGCCCAGGAAAGGGCACAGCGCCGAGGCGTTCCCTGGGCAGGCCGCTCCCTGACCCCTCTGCAGGGGCTCGCCCCAGCTACGCTGCGCCAGCTCAGTACCGCTGGCTCAGTACCGCACTGTGCGACCAAATGGAGCCCAGCGGGGCAGAGGAACGCACACAGTCCGCGCTGTTGTTGCTGGTAGCTGGGCAGCCAACAACCAGCCCGGCCGGGATGACCGGCCAATGGCGGAGTGGGCGCGGCTACAAGAACGCCGGGCGGCAATAGAGGAGCCCCGGCGGCGGTGCCAAGGCGGGGAAGGGGTGGAGTGGCGGTGCCATGGCAGAGAAAGGGCGGAGCGGCGGTGCCGTGGCGGAGAAGGGGTGGAGCGGCGGCGGCGCTGCCTCCATGGCGGAGAAGGGGCGGAGCGGCGGCGGCGGCGGCGCTGCCGCTGCCGCCATGGCGGAGAAGGGGCGGAGCGCTGTGCGGAGGCTGCTGGGGCTGCAGGAGCGGCTGCGCCGTGCACGGCAGCCCGCAGAGGTAGCCGGCCCGGAGCCCGAGCGTGGCAGCTGCTGGGCTGTTGTGAGAAATACGTGCTTCTGCTTGGTTTTAGCGGCACACATCAAAGAGGAGCGGGATCTGTCACGCCCTGCCTTGTAGTTATTCCTGGTCCGAGGAGGACTAAGCTGTTCTTGCGAAACAAGCCCTGTAGGGTGTCGGGGTGCTCAGTAGCTGTGAGGAACAGCTAGGGGACGCCTGAGGCAGGCAGAGATGAGTGGGGAGCGCGATCAGAGCCGGTGCAGAGGCTGCAGCGGGCTTTGGAGGGGCAGAGGGGGACACCCCCGGGCTGTAGGGCACAGGGGACACCCCCGGGCCGTGGGGAAGGGGGGACACCAAGGCACGCCCCGCTCTCTCTGAGCAGCAGCCGGCACTCCCAAGGAAATGGAAGCAAAGTAGCGTGTGCCAAATTGGCCTCAAGGTTTTGTGAAATAATAAATTATATTTGACTGAGGATGGTGTATTCGAAATAGTGATGTGGTTTCTGCTTGGTTTGTTTTTTTTTTTTTTTTTTAATTCAATTTTTGGAGGGTCACATTCGCTTTGAAAATACAGGATGTTTTTATCTTTATGGGCTTCAAAGGCATTAAAACTTGATAGAAGTTTGTGGTTGGAGGCAGAGGGCAGCGGTAAAAATGGCATTGTATTTCGCAGTTGATGAGAATCTTAGCTATTAATCACGTCTACAGCGTGTTTTCAAAGTATGTATGTATACATATAGAAGAAATACTGGTTTTCATAGCCAATAATGGCTTATCTTCTTGAATTGTGATGTAGACAATATCTGTCTAAAATGCAAATATCTGTGTAGGTGCTTCTTAGAAGTTTTAATTTGCAGTTCAATGTACCTAAGATTTCTTCCTATGCTACAGAAACGATCAGTTATTAGTGTCTGAATTTGTACTTGGGATTAGTGTTGATACGCTAATTGAACAAGAGGTCGCAAAGGAAAAGAAAATAATTCTTGAGGTAATAAGTTTTTAAGTAATCCCAAACCAGTAAGTTTCAAAGCATTCTACTAAAGGGGAAAATCAGAACAACTCTGGCTAATTTGGATTCATTGAGGGAGGAGATACAATGTTTTTATGTGGCATAGCTTCACAGGCGCTGCATAAAATGGAGCTAATGGTGGTGCTGCAGCACTTCTGTCCCTGGTAAAACTGTCTAAAGAAATAGAAGTATTTATGGGTAACAGCCTGAGGAGTGGCAGGGAAAGTGAGAAACTGATAGCTGTAAATTGGCAGTCATGAAAGGTGCTCCTAACAGAAGTTGAATCTAATAAGAGAAATTATGTGGGTAGCATCTTTAAAGACAAAAAGGTGAGTTCTAGAAATTTGTGAAAAGAATTGCAAATCAATATCACAGATGTGTATGTAGGCTAGTGTTGTTGTTGTCAAATACTTCTGTTCCATACTGAGAATATTTGGCTTTGGATTTTTTAATATTGCTTAAAAGTTTTTGATAACCACAAAGAACATCAATTGTCCATTTCAAAAGCTTCTTGATGTGTGAGGTTTGATAGGTACCCACTGAGTTTTGAGAGAATTGACAAAGGAAAAACCAGTTATTGAATGATGCTTATGGTTCTAGGGAAAGTATGGGGGAAAAAGTACTGTGCTAGCATTAAAGGTCAGTAAGATGGTCTTCATTGGCATTGATCATACAGGAATGATGCATGAGGTTAAGATTGTACCTGATGTAGAATTGAAGGGTGGTGCCATGATCTATACCACTCCATGAGATGTTATGTAGATACATTCTGCCAAATCTATCTCAAATTGTATTTGGCTGACACTAATTGTTGTGAATTAGTGTAGGCAAGCTTCAAGGCATCTGACTTGCTTCTGTATGGTGCTGATTAGAGCAGCAGTGGCATGGGCCTGATACAATACATGAAACTGATTTCAGCTGCGCTCGCCAAAAATAAGTGCCAGACCTCATAAGGAAACAATGCTGGGTTGTGGGTTTGTGGTGGTTTTTGGGGGTAGGAGAGTGATTATGCGTCTCTTTGTGACGTGATGCTGCTGAAACTTACTTAATTTAGAAGACAACAAACATTGTAGGGAAATGCTACCCATACTGAAGTCATTTGTATGAAATGAAGTGAGTCCCTTCTAGAAACCAAATTTGATCATGTGGTAGGCTACATTCATTTGAGCAACACATGTTTTACCATGGCTCAGTGGAAAGTCACAGCTAGGAGCTATGAATATAGGTCATTCAGCATAGGAGACTATATTTTGGAAAGCATTGACTCAGAAAATGATTTGGAGCTCTGATGTATTACCAGTTGAGCATGAAATTGCAGTAGAGTGCTGTGGCTTATGGGGTAACTGCTATCTTTGGGTAGCTTAGCAGGGTTATGTTATTATTGCTATATAGCATTAGAGGGACAATTACAGGAATATTATGTCCTGTTCTGAGAACTGTTTTTAAAAACAACACTGGCCTATCTGGAAAGATTATAAGATAGCCAGAGAATGGCTGTAGCTCTGGCTAGCATAACTTAATGAAACTAAAGAGCCAAGGTAAAGTGTGTGATTAGTATTTACATTTATTTCTGTATTGTGTAAGATGATTGAAAGAAAGCTCCTTTAGTTAATTAACAGATCATTAGATTTAGCAGCTAAACACAAAACTAAGAAATTGTTTTAGGTGAGCAGCTGTGCTTGCCTTGAGAGGGTATTTGTTCAGGATTTTTTTTTTTTTTTTTGTTAGCTGAGGGCATAGGGTTTATCTGCTTGGGACAGAGTTGGGTTTTTCCTCAAAGTCCTGTACTCTTTCAGATGAGTTGTCTAGGTCAGCCAGAAGTTACTGACATGATGGAATTTCACAGGCTTTTTTATACAAGAGAATAAGCTAAAGAATCATATGGATCTCTGTGAAAGGGAAATGCAGCTATTGAGTGAAGAGAGAGAGAAAACAGGAGTTACTATAGAGAGATGTTATCAGTCAGGACAGATGGTCTGGGAACCTGTTAGTGGGTCCCATCCTTCCTGAGGTTCCAGTCTCAGATGGGAAAATAAGAGGAGACTACAGCACTTGGATGAAGGATGATGGAGCAACACTGGTGTAGTGGGAAAGACCAAACCCAGTGCACCTGGCAGCTGTCGGTACCACTCTGCTTTCAGTTTTGGCTCTGGAAAATTTTGTTTGCTTACATGCTTCTTTCCCATTGCTTATTACCATTGATCTCTGCTTTCCAAATTCCAGCCTGCTTTCCCTTCTTCCCTGCATCTTTGCTTGCTTTTGTTCCTCCTGTCATCTTTGCTTTTGTCTCACACCTCCATGTGGGTGCCAGCTCTCAGTTTGTCCATGAGGCTTTGCCTGTTTATATTGCATGAAGACCTAGGTCTTGGTTTTTCTTGGAATGTGTTTTATGGGAAAAAACCCTGTCCTATAGGGTTTTGATTGTTCTTTATAAATCAGTATTTAGGAATTATGTAGACTAGTTTAGGAATTGTATGCGAAGATAAATTTTCTTCACAATTTTTCTATGAAGTTTACAGTCTCTTTTAAAGTAGATAGAGTTTTTCCACGAGGATATAGCTGATAGTGATATGTGAGGTAAAATAGTCTGGAAACCAGTGGAGGGTTACATATGTATTGTGTGTATATGGAAGGTCTTCCCTGAAGAAATTGCTAGATCCAGTCCAGTGAGATAAGGGCCAAATAGGCCACAAATGCTGTGGTGAAAGAAATGGTTAAGAAAGATCCCTTGATAGTCAGTCTTTATTTTGTTTTTGAAGGCCTGTTCAGAACAGACTTCATCATTTTGCCTTATTTTATGCAATAATTATAATGGCATACTATATATAGGTATTAGGACAACAAAGTTGGTGTTTCTAGCAAGTTCTGGTTTTGGTGACAGACTTTTCTGTATCTTGTGGATCACAGTATACCTTTGTCCAAAGCCCAATATATAATACTGGAGCTTTGTATTTGTGCTTTGTCTTTGGTAGAGAAATCAGAGATCTGTAGCAAATAGGATAAACAGAAAGTTTCTCTGCTGCTACAGATGCTTGCCACAAATTACATTTGCTTATTTTCTGATTGTTTCTGTAAGTAAGTTTGGTTCTACATCCCAAGAACTTGGAGATGTGTGATTCCTACTGGCAGGCTGGATGCAGCCATTTACTTTGTCCAGGTACAGAACAGAGTCTTGTACTAATCCTGCACGTGCAGAGCTGCTGATTGCCCTGCAGCCTGAGTGGTTGGTATCACTTCTACAAACCTTATCACTGTGTCTGATCCATTTTTTTCTATTTTTTTAAAATGAAACAGTGTTTTTTGTCTTAGTTTTCCAAATGTGATACACATTTCAAGTAACCAAAATGAGCAATGTGGTCTGTAGTTTAGAAGACTTTGAAAGTTTTGTTTTTCATTAAAATGTGTTGACTGCTTTTGAACATGCTTGTCATCTAGGTACTTTTGTAATTTAGCCTGTTGGTTTGAAGTTGTATGAATAGTAATTGCCTGCTTCCTGAATTTTTTCTTCTGAAATAAACTTGGCTTTATGAGTTAACTTAATCCAAAATCCATCAAGAGAAACTATTCAAAACCCTTATTCTCTGTATTTTGATGAAAACGTCCCTTAGTATTCTTCCACAAATAGGTTTGTCTCTGGCAAAGTAAATGGGATTTATTCCCAGTGGTTTGCATTGCTTGATTTTCTAGACATGTTAAATATCCCAATATAACATGTCAGCAGTGGGTTACTTCCTTTTTCATTGCAAAATAAATTTAATCAATGAGGATATAAATTTTTTAATTAAATAAAAGTGAATTAATTTGACACTGATCATCTCAAGCATTAAAAACTATGTCAACATTGTGAGCAATTACAGTTTTTCTTGGAGATTGCCTTATTTTAAGATAAGCAGAACTTCGTATGGCTTTTGTGCTGGTTCTGAAATCTTGGCAAGGAAGCTTTTTTTAAAATTAATTCTTTTATTTAATTTGTTTGTAGGTGTCCTGCCATTTTGTAGCTAGCTGAACTTTTTGGGAGAGATTTTATTTGTTGCCTCTGGTCCTAGCTGTATGTTTTACCTTGTCTCACAATTTCCCAGGCTGTGAAGCATTTCTGCTGTGTTTGTTTAGACTCAAAAGTGCTGTTTCAGGGTGGAAGATTTACAGAAGAGCTGCATGCCAGGCATGTAGTTAGATCCCACTGAACACAATGAAGATCAGTGTCAAGTGTGGGATTCCACTACTCAAATGCATTGTAGGAGCAATGAGACTTACAGCAACAGTAGAGCAATATATCTCTGGAGTGCAACTTGTAAATTGTTTCTTTGAGCTTGCTATTCATTTTTAGTATCTCTTCCATCTCCTGCAATGCCTTTTCAGAAACAGTATCTAATATAATAAATGACAGTTCATCGGTTATTTAAATTAATTTAGCTGCTTTTGTTGCCAGAAGATTTCTGGGTAGTGTGTTTTGTGTTCCTGCTGTTACACTGAGAAGTGTCAATGATCTGAAACACTTGACTAGTATTTCAGGCTTTGTGAAAGCCCTCTGAAATGCTGCTATTTCAGTTGTGCATTAATTCTGTCATCTCTGTAGCATAGCTTCATGTGTGTGGTTGGCAGTGTTTTAGTGTCCACACTAAATTGGGGAATGCCATTCTTAAACAATGACAGAAAGATAAGACAAATTTGCTGTGTATGGTTAGCTGCAAGAGTCTGGGGTGCTATATGCTACCCATTGCCAAATAAATTGGGTTATACTGCTGTCAAAATTTATACTCGGCTCATAAATGTGACTTCTTTGTTATTAAAACACTTCTCATAGAAAGATGAGCATTTTGTATGTGAAAAAAACTTTCCTGCTTTTATGGAAGTGTTGAGTTTGGTAACAGGTGTAAGCTTTGACAGTGGAAAAGTAAACAGTTGTTCTAGCTCGAGCTTGTTTTGTTAAAATTCAAATTGCATTTATATTTTCAAAACCTTATTTTGTGCAGTCTGGGCTTGCACCAGCTCTGTTGTCCTTTCTTGGCCTGGATTGATGGAGTAGTGCTGCTGACTGAGAGAGGCTTGCTGGCTTTTGCTTGGTGGCTTTGCACAATGCAGCTTTTGCACTGGCTCTGTGGCAAACGAGGGCCACTGCCACAGCATGAGTAGGCATACATATGTAGCCTCTACTACTGTGCTACTGATATTTACTGTAATCTCTGTAGCAGTAATTTCAAACTACTTACTGGATTTTCTGTTGTTACTGAAATTGAGGGGTTGGCAGGACTGTACTGGTTCACAGCACTGACTGCAAACACTGCTTGATGCGCAGTAAAGGAGTGCTTATGTTTTCCAGGAGTTACTGGATGTTCCTTTTAACACTGTTGTATATTTTTGGATTAAATATGTGAATGAGGATGAGAAGAACAGAATAAGATTTCCAAGTATTTGTTTAAAACAATAAATCTGATGTTCCCTTCCAGATTGTAAAAACACTTAAGGTATTACAAGGTTTGGATTTATCACTGGATATTTTGCTGGTAAGTGATCAGTAATAATACATTACACTCTTCTATAGTGAATTATTATGTAAATGCCAAGAGTGTGCATTTGTTGAAGTGGTGAACATGTTTCATTTTACAATTTTAAATTTATATCCTGTTTGGTTAGATTAATTTCCCAAAAGCTGGTCATCCAGTTTGATGAATGCAGTATTATGTCAACAGTGATAGAACTGAGCACATAGAGGACACTTGGCTAATCAGGATGGCTTCTTTTCAGTGTAAAACTGCCTTTAATCAATGCTTAAAGCAAATAAGGTGAACCATTCTTTAGATCAGTTGTCTAACTCTCCCATCTTTCATTAGCAGCTCAAAGGTAGTTTCTTGCATTTAAAGAGGAGGAATCCCCAGTAATGATTCTATCCTCATCCAAGCTGCATCCTGTCAAATTCTACATTAGATATTCTCACACTGGTTGGTGAAGCTTCTAGCTATTATAAGCAATGTGTCTGTGTTTTGAAAAGAAGAAAAATGTTGGTTTTGTGAGAGTTGAATTCTTTGAAGAGTAAGAGGAAAAATATAGTTGCCAAGATATTTGAATGGTCTATTCAGGTAAAGGCATTTGTCTGCCTAGGCACAGGCAGACTTGTACTGAAATGAGGCAATATTTATTTTGTTTTCCAATAAAAATACATAATGTCACATTGCAATTAGTGCTTTAAAATGACAAAGGGTTTCTGCAGATGATTCATGTTCCCAGAATTTTTGCATGCTTTATAATGGGACAGACTTTGATGGAAGTCAAATAGAGGAAAGTGACGTCTTACAGCAGAGGGCTCCACATATTTTAATGCATTTGAAGAACATAAATAGCTTTGTGAAGTAGTCCCACCAGATTTCTTCCATCTGTTTGCAATGACTGACTTACCAAATCAGGTTGCTCAAATTATATACAAGCTAAATATACTTGAAGTGAATTTAAGGAAGCCCTTTCTGGAGGCGGAGCTGATTATGTGGGAGTAACGTGTATAGCTCAGACTTGGCAGGAGTATAGCTGTTAGCAAGAGCATTCACAGGTTGCAGTGAACCTACTCAATTCCATATTTTGCCTCATCTTAAAAGTGAGGGCTTGTGAATCAGATGTTTACTGATAATACATTATTAAAATCACCTGTGATTCTACAAATGCTCGAAGTCTGCAAGATATTTTTGCTTAAACAAAACACGCTCGAATGAGACTTGAAGACACAAGGATACTGTGAAAGTAACTCTGCTGCTCTGACCCCTCAACCTTGTACTGCTGGTTGAGATGTATTTTATATTACACCATACCCAACATATATGCTTTCTAATATGCTCAAATGTACTTCATAAGCCTAAAGGAAATTTGGATTGATGCATGTTGTGGGCTTAAGCCTTTGAGAGAAGTGAAATTCCTGAAATATGTACATTTAAAGGAGGAAAATTGCTTATCTTGGTTTTATGAATTAAGCCTTCATTTTGGTCCCCATATTTGGTTATAAATAACTACTTCCTTCATTTCTGTTTGCAGTATAAAGAGGGCATTTATTCTCTGGCTGCCATAGGACTGCTCTGAATACGAGGCTAGTACTGTTTGTAGCAGTTGTAGAGGAGGTTTTATTTGGGAGGAGAGTTGTGATTTATTCTCCCCATCTTTCTTGCACTATCTTCAACAGGAAACTGGCATGGACAAAACAGTTAAAAGTTTTAGGGAACATGCCACTGCTGGGAATCTAGCTAAAAGTCTGTTAAAACAGTGGAAAAAGCTTATTTCTCCAGAAAGTAAAAGGTAGGTGTGAACTTTTTTATTTGAATTTAATTATATCGTAGTGTAATTTGAAAATACAGATTGGAAGCTTAGGAAGGTGTTTGGAATGACACAGGTATGTTAAATGTGGTGGTAGTTGAATTGGAATGTGACGTAAGAGAATGCAGCTGTAAAATATGAGAAAAACAATCAAACCATTATTGGTCAACTAGGTAGTTGGTACTCTGAGTTCAGCTGGTTTTTGTGACTGGCACAAGTTCTTAGGTCCCAGCTGGTGCAAAAAGACTAAACCATGATGGGCACTGCTCTGCACATGAGGAAGTTGGGAAGCTTGCTCTTTCTTCCCAGAGGTGGTGGTTAAATGAGGCAGCTGTCCAGTGATGTGGTTGTATAGAGGTTTTTCTTGTAATGTTCCTGTGGACTGAGAGGGCCTTCCAACACTGGAGGAAGCACCGTGAAGAGATGCAGTTTCTTCTGAGACTGAAACAGCCACCACTGCCATGGCCAGGCCTGCTCTGCTTTAGATGTTTCATGGAGTTCCAACAGTTCCAAACAGTTGTGCTGAGAAAGCCAAGGGAATAGTTTGACTAAAAAGTGCGTTTTAAATCTGAAAATGTTCAAATGACGGTGAAGTAAAATACTAGAACCTGTGATAAGCAAATCATAAAGGCTGACCTGTTAATCTGTTTCACCTACTGAACATGTTGTAAATTTTTCTGACTCCTAGTTATTTCAAGTACCATGTCTTTGCTATAAAGCGCGCAGGGAAGCTTTGTGAAAAATGGTATCCAACATGTTATAAGCAGATAGTACTGCCAGGTTTATGTCCCTACTCCCCACTTGTTTTGCTATCAATTATTGTTTCAATATTTAGCAGTGCAGGACCCAGGAGCTCTGTGATTCTGTACTGATAAAGGAAGAGTAAGAACACAGTGCAGAACTAAGTTCTGGGTTTTGGGAAACGACGACACATGGTGTGATTTTATGCTTTTAGTTTTACTAATATCGGAAAACCAGATTGTTTAAGAATTTAGCATCAGCTACAGAATGGAATGTAATTTTTTTATTGTTGCAGCAATCACAGGGGAAGAAAAAATAATGAAAAAGAAAAACATAAGATGACATCTTCTGTTTCCCAGGAGATTAAGCCTTCAGAGAAGCCTGAAACATCTGTCCCAGCCTTTACAAGTTCCAGCAGTGCTCCCATTAGTACAAAGCTGAATAAGGAGCATATTTGTAGTGAAAAGACCCATCAAAGTACAAATTCTCCAAAAGAATGTGATAATAAAGTATGTAACAGCAGTGGTTCTAAGCATGCTTCCCAGGGTACCAATTCTCAGGCTAAAGAAAGTGAGTTCAAAGGGAGCACCTCCACAGAGAGAAAGAAAATTTCAAAAAAGCAGCATTCTTCTGCAGCCAATGAAGGCTTATTGTGCCTGAAAGAAAAGCCTAGTAAGGATGCTTCCAAACAGAGAAATCCTAAACGTGTGAAGAAACCAAAACAAAATCTTGTCATGAAAGACCAAGCCAAATCATCTGGTGATGAGGAATTTGAACCCCCTACTATGTCTTTTGAATCTTATCTTACTTATGATGAGGTTACCAACAAAAGAAAGAGAAAAGCTTGTTCTACAGGTGCACAGCCAAAAAAGTGCAGTAAAGAGAAGAACAGCTCATTACTACAAAAGACTTCAAAACTTTCTCAGGCAAAAGAGGGAGTTGAAGATGTAAAAAAATGTGAGACTGATCAATCAGAAACTCCAAGTAAAAAGGTAAATCACTACAGGGTTGAGATAAAAGCAGATAAACAGCAGACAAACAAGTGCTTTAGACTTTCATTTCACTGAAATTTATCTGTGTTTTTTTTAAGGAGCAGATTGCATGACCCTGATGTATCAGCTGCATTGCAATTGCCAATAATGACAATAATGGGTAGAAAAGAGATACAGTTTTAAATTTAATTACTTGTATTTTTAGCATTGTTTCCAATATTACTATGGTGTTTGATCCTTACCAACTAATCTGCATTTGACTTGCAAAGTGCAAAGGCAGTTACCTCTGGAAAGATGTCCACCTTTTTCTTTCTTGACCACCCTGGTTTGTGGCTGCTGCAGCTTTTTTTTTGTATAGAACAGTCCTTTTGTCAGATGCTATGGTTCTTTAATAGTGAATGTTAATGTTTGCAGTGGAACTGAACATTCTTTAAATGCATTATTGCATATAAAACTATATCATACAGATAATACTCTGAGCTGTCCTAGTGTCTTGAAATGCAAAAAGCTTAAGTAGCTCCTCTGCGGAAATATGTACGCAAAAAAAGTTTTAATTAGACCTTTTAAATGGAGACCTTTTGTGCACTGAAAATTAGGGTTGTCTTCAGATTTATATCTTCACTGTGATGTGAAAGCTTTAGGCTTTTTTTTTATTATGGAAGATCTGCAATCTGAATGTGGTATCTTCTGTTCCAAATGGGGAAATATTAATGTAGAGGCTTCTGTATGATACTCTAACATAAACTGTTTGAGGAAAAACCTCAGACACTCAAGCAGTTGTGAAAAGTTACTATAGATACTTAAATGAAGTGCTGGGAATGCAAATTTTGGGCTGTAAGTGCTTGACTTGCAATTGGAGGACACCCGAGATGCAATTTAGATGTTGATGCATTTGTAGGGACCCACACTTAACATGCTGCTGCATCTTTAAGACCTTTTTAGAGAGTTAGCTGTGAATGTTTTAGGCTGAATGGCTTACTGAGTGTGGTCTAGGAGACTTGATAGGACTAGGTGTAAAGCTGTTTCTTGTCTTTTAGAATTATGCCTTTTTCATCTTGCAGTTTTGTGTCATTTGCTGCATGCCTCAGTAGTGATTTATCTGAAAGCTCGTTAGCTCTACATACCTACTCTGTTCTTTAATCTTTCTGTGTGCTAATTGCAGATGTCCCAATAAGTTCCTTTTGTGGTATAGTCTTGGTAAGTGGAGTATGAAAGGATATACTGCAAAGTAATCCTGTGAATAAATGTTAGTGTAGAAAAGCAAGAATTCTAGTTATCCTAGTTAATCTTGGGATTTGCATAAATGTTTGGGGGTTTATTGTAGCTTGTTTTAAGCCTGGTTAACCCCAAATTTGTAATATTGAAGCAATCATTCCTTAACTGTGCACAGGCCAAATTGGCATCCCTCCAAGAGCTTCTTAATACTCCACTACCTAAAACTCTGCCAGGCATCTCAGAATCATCTCCCCCATATGCTGCAGACTTTACAGGTAAGTAATACACAAGGCTGATAAATGGGAAATAGTGCAGATGTTTATAGCTCTGCATAGAAATGTTTTATCCCCTTTTCCAATAAACTGTATTAGCTCATCAGTCCGTGGCAAAGAAGGGCCTCACTTCCTCATCTGTAGAAACTCTGTTGAAGCTGAAGGGAGTTACAAGGCCTCCCTTCTAATGGCTTACTGAGGAAATTTACAACAGACTTAGAGAAGGCATAAACCAAGTGGCTCTTCTACAGGCTCCATTTATCTTTACTCATGTCTGTACTTAGAGCAGGCAAAGCTGTAGCAGAAATGATTGTCGGTAAAACAAATATATGAGGCACTAGGTCCAGCTTTGGCATAGGAACCATTAGTATTATTATAGGTAGGTGACATGAAGTACCAGTGGCTCCCCTAGCAGCTCGTCTCATGTGGCTTCCTACCACTGGGATCTTGAAACATTGCTGCTGCTATTGAAGCTCTGGCTTCTCTAAGGTAACTCAGAATGATTAGTAAGGTTCTGTGGATGGGTAACAGAGCAATTGAGATGTGAATACAGCTCATGTAGACTGGAGATAAATAATGCAGGGCTGGTTTGAGTTGGTGCAGCTCACTTGCAGTGTACATCTTGGAGTTAGATGATGGTGAATGGACTTCTGCAATTTACAATACATGCAAGGGTCCCATGCTGTCATGTAGTAACTTTGTATTAAGAAAATAGTTTGTATATGTAAGTAAAAGTCATTTATGTTTATCTCAGAGCTGAATGTTTAAAGCCTTGTGAAACCTGCCTGATGTTTTGCTTGCAGCGTTCACAGTGCCTGCTGTAGAAGCACCCCAGCAAGTCAATGAGATAGTTCAATTCACAGGGCAGAGACTGAACTCCAAAATGCAGGTGTACTCTGGCTCCAAGGCAGTCTGCCTTTCCAAGATGCTTACACTGTATGAGCAGTGTGTCCGTGTGCTTCACAACCATTTTGAGTGTGAGTACTTCAGGGGATTTGTACCACTTGTGACTCTAAGGGTATGAGATTTTTATTTCTCCATGCCAACTACTGGCCTACTAAAATATATTGTCCCTCCCTATAAATGGTGACTTGGAGCAGGATGAAAAGCACTTGCAGAAATGGATTGATGACTGTGCTAAAATATAGCTTTGTTCTGCAAGCTTACAATTTTTAAAGGTCCAAGTTTACTTAAAATAATGTCTTATAAATGATAAACTAAAAATTCTGCCCCTCCACTCCCATGTTTGTTGTGATCAAGACATTCTTCATTGCATAGGCAGAGGAGGAAATTATGTATATCAGTAAAGATGGGGCAATTACTGTTCAAAGATGCTTTATCCATCCTCAAGTATAACTGCTAGTCAGTATGGAACTGCTGATTTATAAATATTTTCATAGCCTGGCATAAGATGTTGTGTTAGCGCTTGCTAAAATTAACTTGTATTTTTTTTTTTAGCTGAGTGGTGTTACCCACTAAGTAAAATAAGTGAGATACTGAAAATACTGTCCTCTTTTGTAGTGCTACAAGAAGCAGGAGGTGTGCCCTTTGAAATTCTTGAGCCTGTGCTAGCACGTTGCACACCAGAGCAGTTGTTTCGAGTAGAGAAATGTAATCTGGTAAATTCTGCCTTGTTAAATTTGGGAAACCACAGAGTTCCCTAACTCCATGGGCTGCACTGGTTTTCTGTCTTGCATACTAATTTCTTTGAATTTAACTGTCATTATTAAGTTCCCCTTTCTCAAGTTTAAAACATTCAGGAGAATTACTACTGATGACTAAGTGAAAGACAGTGTGTATACAATAGTGTTTCTGATAGTAAGAAAGAAAAAAGATGACCACAGTATTTACCAATGAAATAGCTGGGAAAGTCAGAACCAACTGTGTTCAAGTTACAAAATATTAAGCCTGCAAAACATATCAGTCAGGAAGTAGCTGCTGTGAGATTGCATGCATGTGGTAGATTTTTCTGCACTGTCAGGACCTGAGCTCCATGATGCACTTGGACATTGATGTTCCGAGTGTGCAGTCCTTTGTAGGGCAAGTTAGCCTTTCCTCTGTGTGCCTCAAGTTGAGAGCTGGAGTGGCCTGAGCCTGTGCTGCAGACACAAGTCTGGCCTGTAACTGTGCTCACTGACTCCAGCTCTGCTGCTTGAAGCTGTGTCATTTCCAGGCTGCAGTCAGTGTCCCTGCATGGTATTGCCACGGTGTGGGTACCTGTGTCAGCACGTGTGGTGGGATTTGCTCTGTACCTTCTTCCACCAAAGGTTTGGGTTGTGTCTGTAGGCTCAGAGAATAGGTACTCTTGAAAATGTTATTTTTAGATCTCTGATTTAAGATGTCTGTGCTTTAAATTAGATGTTTATAAAAGAGACTGACCACTTGTGGAAGAAACACTGCCAAAGAGACTTTAAAAATGAGAGCCTTCTGGAATATGAGTCTTGGCGTGAAATGTACTGGAGACTGTTTAATCAGAGAGAAGAAAAACTCAAGATCCTTACAAAAAATATTCTTTCAGCTCAGTCTGAGAAACCAAAAGGTAAAATCTCTTGTTAGCTCTTCCACTTACAAAACCCAGTCTCTTCTGCTGTTCTTGACAATATGTTTGGTTTAATGATTTCTTTGCAGTGAGTACTAATGCTGTACTTCCAGGAGAAATCATCAAGAACAAACACTGTTACACTTAAAATGAAATTTGCTTAAAAATAAACAGATGCATTAATACAATATGTTGGTGTATCCTGAAAATATTATGCATTAGAAAAATCTTACCTTACTGGTTGGACTAAGGATTCTAAGCTGCAATGCAAAGAGTTTTGGACATAAAGGATGTGAAAAGTCATGTATCCTCTGCTCCTTGCTTCTATATTAGGCAGGCAAGCAAAAATGGCTTATGTGATTGGGGCAGCAAAACCTCCCAGGAACATTTGCCGACGGCACGAAATCCACGGGGCAGCAGGACCTGTCATCCAGCTTCATCCCACAGGGAAGTGCAAGTAAGTGCTGTGTACTATGCTTTTGAGTTTGTGTCTTTCAGTTCAAAATTATACTTGTAAAATAATTTTCAAGTTCTACGTAACTCTATTTACTTTCCTTTTTAAAGTGTCTAGTAGCTAGAAACAAACTTGCCTTTTAAGTCTTGTGCACTCCTTGGCCATGTGTGCATTGTCATTGCACATTTCTCACAAGTGCCAGTGAATTCACTCTCCCAGCTGGAGTGTAAGTGGACGCTGTTTCTTTTCTCCAGATTGCACTAAAGCTGCTTGGCATCCTAGGGCAATTCCATTGTTGATGTTTTGGGTCTATTAACCTGCCTAGTAGCCTCACGTGTTCTCCTGCTTTGATAAAATCCCAGTCAGCTGCCTGGTGTGATACAGCTGAACAGAATGAACCTCGGGAACTTTAATACTTTTTTTTCCCCTGTGAATTTCAGAAGCTAAGTCAAACAAACTTGCTGCTCAAGGTGGTTGTAAGTATGAGTTAGGAAGAGCAGCCTGGATGTAAGAATTTTCTTAAACTCAGCTTTTATACCAGATAAATTTTCATAACTGTGCCTTCAGCTGGTGAGATTTGGAAGGTTCTTTCCATATTGTTGCTATTCCCATTGAAAAGATAGTCCTTCACCAAGGCAGTAGCTTAAGGCACTTTGAGTTGCACTTTTGCTTTCAGCTGCTCTGTGGGAGGTTGATTTTGTTTTGTGACAGACCTGCCTTTCCAGTTTAAGTGCTTCAAGTACAGTAGCACACAAGTACATATGTCCTTTGTGCTCCAGTAATCTCTGGACCAGTAGCTGAATGATGTAGACCAAGCCTTGCATGATTTTTTTTCTCAGACATGAAAGAAGTTCTAAGAAAGTCATTGGTTTGCCTTCTGGAGAACCAAAGGGTTTGTTTAGGCACAATAATTTAAACAATGAGTTAAACTTCACTGCTTTGACCTGTTGGTTTTTTAAGCTGCAGAATTTGTATAGCTGAAATTCTCACTTGAGAAGCTGGTCTTGCAGGAGCTAAACAATCCTGCTAAGGATTTGTGTGCAGACATGCAGCTCCTTAGCAGGCTGCTATTCTCACTCAGGGTGCAGTGGTGCTGAGTGCTGGCAGAATGCTCAGTGTCTGGCTCTGAGGAGTACAGGGCTGGCCATGCTGGGTGACATTGTGCTGACACTTAAATGCTGTGTTGGGTTAATGGTCTTTAGCAGGAGGCACCAGCTCTGTGTATGTATCTGCCTCAGTCCTTGTCTTGCTGATTGAGGATTCCAACATGATGTTTAGTTAGTTACTGTGCCTTTTGCTAGTCAGGTACAGAAGTTTTGTTTTTAAACATTGGCCCTCATTTTCTGTCAACGAGTCAGTTAGCAGTTCAGCTGTGTTCAAAGAAGAAAATAAACATGAGGTTTATTTTGTGCAAACTAGAGCACAGGGCATTATGAATCACAGTGGTATTGCTGGCCATTTTGATTTGTCACAGACTCTGATTATTTGACTTTAAAGACTAATAGGAGACATGAAATCTTATAAATGTAATATTTGTTCAACAATTAAAATGGAAAAGATGGTCGTCTGTAATCCCTTCTAACCTGAATTATCCTATGACTTTGAAATGTATAAAGTCTCTTAAATGTACCAAATCAGGCTGTTGGTTTTGATTTTTTTTTTTTCAAAATGAGCCAGAGCAAATAGTAGTTTAATATCAAACACTAACTTTTTTCTTAACTTGCTTGTTTTAAAAGAACAGGGATTCCAGAAATGAGAGACAGAAATAACACATTATCAAATCTGATATGTGCTGGCACTAGTAGAAGTTCTAGCTCAGGTGTCATGATTCAAGATGGAAAGAAGCCTACCAAAAGTAAGTGGCATTTCCTAAGATGATCAATTTAATTGTTTTTACCTTCTGCCTAATTTTAAGTTGCTCATAGCTGTAATCCTAACTGGTCTCTTTGTTTTGTTGTTATTGAAGAAATAGCACCAATCATGAAGAAAGCATTGAAAGCACTGAGGAGTAGAGTTGGACAATGATAAAATGAGGCTGTGCATTTGAAGCTTATTTGATGTGACTGTATGTATATTATGCTACAGTGAATGAAAGTAATGTCCATGTAAGCACTGTTCAATTTGCTTTAGTTAAAATAGTTCTGAAAAATTGCATGAGTGAATAATAAGCAATAAATACTGAAACCTCAGAGTCCTTTCATACTGCTCCATTCTTACTTGATTTGGTATAAGGTCAGTACACACTAATGACAAATCAGTTTATATGAACCCTTATAGGTGATGTATTTATGAGTTTAAGCTGGTGAAGAGCCTGGGGCACAAGTTTTTGTAAGAATGGCTGAGGGAAGGGGGGTGGTTTAGTGTGGAGAAAAGCAGGCTGAGGGGAAGACCTTATTGTTCTTTATTGGTGCCTGAAAGGAGGTTGTACACAGGTTGATCTCTCCTCCCAAGTTACAGGACGAGAGAAAATGGCCTCAAATTGCACAAGTGAAGGTTTAGATTGAATATTAGGAAAAATTTCACTGAAAGGGCTGTCATCATTGGAACAGGCTGCCCAGGGAAGTGGCTGTGTTGTCATTCCTAGAGATTTTTAAAAGATGTGTTGATGTGGCATTTGAGGATTAGAGTGCTGGATTAATAGTTAGACATTGAGCCCAAACAATTCTGTGATTCTATGATTGTATGTAAGTGTGGAGATGAAAGAAAACGTGGACTATACTCTGATCTGCTACTCTCAGTCTGTCATGAAGAGGCCTAGCTCATAACCTCACAGCCAGTTGTCTTAAAGTAAGGAAGCTATTTGGTCATGCATAGCTGTCCTTTCAAGAGTTAGGGACTGCTGCAATTTGGGGTTGGTCTATGAATGGGTTTTGTTTTAGAAATGAGATTTCCTTGTAGTTTCTTTTTCTAAACCAGTTCATTTGCCTGAATTGTAAGCCTGACTTTGCCTTGAAGGCATGCCTTAGAAATGGAGGAGCTCTATCAATTGCACTCAGTTGTTGCAAGTAGGTTTTATTTCTTCCTTTGTACTTCCATAGGATTTGGCATTTTAGAACTCCTCATGAAGCACAGGGTAAGGTTGTCATGAAACCTTTGAGCTGATGTCTCTTACTCAAAACACCTTATGTGTGAATTTCCTCATCCTACATGTTAGGTACTATAGGTAGATTACAAAAATACTGCTACTAAAAATGGCTTTTACAGCCATTAACTTAGTCACCCATACATAACAGCTTGTGCAAATGCCCTGTTTATACAGGGGTTTGTTTACACAGGTGTGCTGTTGTCTTGTGGGTTTTTTTCTGTGTTACAGTGGCACTAAAAAGAATGGAAGTTGAAAACATGCATGTTGAACTGGAAGTGCTGGGGGAAGCTTTTGCTGTTTCTGGAATCAAAACAATCATTAACTAGTAGGAGAGGTAATACAGCATCTGTCATACATACCTGAACAGTTCATCCCAGAAGCATTCTTTACAATACTTAAATCTGATTGAATGACCCATATGCCACTCTTTGTTGCTAGTCAGTTGGTGGCAGAAGCTAAACTCAGCTGAAGGTTTCTATCAAGTGGGGTATCCTTTTGTGTAAAAAAAGACAAAGTCATTGTTTTGGCTCTGGCATTTGAGAACACAGCTGAAGCCATCCAGAGCAGATATAGATGATGGGAATGTCCACTTTGGAGTCTGAAGGATAAATAGTTGTTTTAACTACTAGAATTAGATTGTTGATTGGCAATAACTTTTCCTGTCCTTTACAATGGTAGCAGAGTTATGTGGAGGACAAATTTTACTTCAAGATTAGGTGACTTTAATTTTCTCACTTTCTCTCACTTCAAAGGCTCTAGATATAGCTCTGGTAAGAGGTGTGCAGAGGGTGCTTGTGGGATCAGATTGTCATCCTGACAATTTCTAATTTCAAAAATACAGTAGACAAGCAAATCTCTTTACTATAAATTATTTGGCACTACACATACTTTAGGGTAGGGTTTTTCTTTTGCTTGTGCTGTGGTCTGTTCCTATGGACTAATGCCTAGATGAGGCTGCAGTATGCTAGGATGCTCTGGGAATGTGTTTTTGTGAGGAATCTTGTTTTATTGTTTATTGTATGGTATAACACTGCTTGATGGCACAATATAAATCAATTGTGGAGGCAAATTCAAAGCTAACTTCAAAGATTTACCCTTTTAATCTGAACCAGAATGCTAATGTAGATGCTTCTGCAGTCTCCTGCCTATATACAGTTAGTTTAGTATACAGGAATTATTGCTGGATATGTGTTCCTGGCATCTGGCATACCTAACAGAACAGATGGTATTGGAGTATATTGCCTGAGGTAGATGATTTTCCTTCTGGTGGATGGGTGAAAGATGTTTGGTTGGTTTTGTTGCATATTCCCCAGGCTGGCTGCCACATCTCATCAGAGGAGACCTCTGATCCTTCTTGGAAAAGGGATTATTTTCACAGAAAGATTGAATGTTACAAGTGCACAATGGAGTGCTCTTCCCTAAAAACACATTGCAGCTCTGAGTCCTCCTGCAGTATCTCTGGAGCCTTTCATCCCAGCAGCATAATGCTTTTCCAGGTAATAAGCAACTTCCATATTAATTTCTGGAAAATTAAATAAGTAATGGGAGAAAAATATGGGCACAAAAGGAATGCCCTGCTGTTGTGGGAAGGACCACCGATGTGTAATGTTTCTTTTCCTCTTGAGCTTTTTTCTTTCAAGCATAGAAACCACTTTCCACTTCCTGACAGAGTTTGTTTCATAGTGTTCAGGAACATTTTCCATCCTCTTAGTGGTTGGGCCCAAGAAGAAAGCTTGGCCTGACTGCTATACCACTTTAAAAGGAGGATGCCTGATGCTGCCATCTAAACAGTCCCTGTGGCAGAAGGAAAACAGTTTTGAGGTGAAGTGTTGGATCTTAAGAGACCCTGCTCAGAAGGCATGTGAATTCCAGGAGCTAAGCTCTTCTTGGGGCCTTGTAGGCGTTTAAATGTTAGCTTAAGTGCTGGGCCAAGGCCAAAATGGGTTGGCATGATCCTTCTGGAAGAGTTTGTAGACATCATTGTAGTGCCCCAAGTATGATGCTGTTGTCAATTTTTGCTGTTCAGGGATCAGTATCTGAGCTGCTGCTAAAGCAAGGCACAGCTGGGATCCCTGTGAGCAGGGAGGTTGTTACAGCTCTGAGCCTGATGCCATTGGCTGTGTGGTACCTGGGGATGTCTGAGGATTTCTGGTAGTCATAGGAGATGACCTCAGCAGAGGGAAGAGAAATCCCCTTGCACAATGCAGATCTCAGACTTGCCATCTGAAAGCTTGGCAAAAGGTCTGTGCCAAGGTTTAGTGTGGTGAAAAATGCTGATGCACTGATGGATAAGAAGACCATCCTTTATATATTGCTGTTGGGGAAAAAAGCCAATCAATCAAAACACCACTTGACAAAACCCCAAATCATCCAGTGAGAGTTGCCTCATTCTTTATTTCCTTTCCCTGCCCTTCCTGTAAAGACAGAAAAGGTTTTTGAGTGGGTGATTGAAGGTCTTGGTTAGACAGCCTAGTCTCCCTTTTCAGCCACCCCTACCATTGAACAGAGGTAAAATTTATCAAGATTGTGTTTTTCTGCAGTTGTAACTAGTTACTGCCAGTGAAGGAACAAGTCTCTCCTGGGTCACCACAGTGGCAGAAATGATCTTGGGTTTGTTTATTTACAGGGCAAATGTATTGGGTTTTTTTTTTCTTTTTTTTCTTTCTCACTAATTTCCATATCAGCAATTCTTGCCTTCAGCCCCCAAAATATTTCCTTTTTGATCTGCTGAATCAGTTGGAGGAGAAAAAGAATGGTGTTGGGTTCTTCTGATCAATCATATTTGATTCAGGGTAGGGGCTGGGTTCAGCATTTCTTGGTGTGATCGTTTGCCTTGGGTTTTCAGCAGTCTCTGTTTTGGGTACCATTGTTCAGCAGTGACACCTTTCAGGAAAGTGCTGGAGTCACTCTGCAGTTGTGCTGCTTGACACAAGAATGGGAACAGGTTGTTCTTCTTCCTGCTTAATGGAAGTGATGTGCACTGTATCTGCCTCCTCTCTTACAAATTCTGGTAAACATTTTTTAATGTGCTTTATTCAGTTTTATGTTTTTCACACATGAGTTGCATCCTTACACAGCTGTCCCATCTTCTCCCACTCTAAACTTTTTTCACAGAGCTGAATTATGTTTCATTCCGTGGTACAAAATTCTTTGTACAAAATCCCTTTGATTATGTCTTGGGTTGTTTTTAAAACTTCAACCCTAATTGTTAGCAAAAAAGGGGCTCTGTGACTACACACATTATGGAGACAGAATTGCAGACTTTTCAGAAGATAAATATAATATGTTGACAGTTTGGATCTAAACCAACAAAAAAGCAGATGAAGAACAAGCATTCCCAGATGTGTAAAGGAATGTACTAATCCCAGAAGACTTGAGGAGATTGTTTCCACAGATGGACATACCAAGTCCAACTTTGTGATGGCCTGGAGATCAAACATCCTGGAATATGAGGTCTAACAGTCCTGTACCTACCATACCCAATGTCCTCACCAGTGTGCCCTAGACAAAAATGATACTAGAAATGGAGCTTGGAAGTACTAGGTTTTCTAGAAGAAAATACATGATGAGACTGTCATAGTTTTTCACAAATGAAGCATCAAAACCTCAGAAAATTGCCAATTTTTTAAAGGCATAGAAATCTAGTTTTAGAATCCAAGTGTTTCTCCTAATTTCTGATGCTAAAACTAATTCAGGTCAGAATAGTGCGGGAGGTTGCAGTTTTATTTTTTCCCCCTTCAAATTGCAAAACTTTAAAATTCCTGCTTTAAATGTGAAACTACAAAGTCATGAATGTAATCTTTGTAGCTTAAGCCCTAAATGGTGTGCTTGCTGTGGGAAGAGCTGGTGGAAGCTTTCAGCAGCATATGTTATGTGAACTCTGTTTACAGAGAAGTTCCCTCTTTTTATCCCTGGTGACAGACCTAAAAATGGCACTTGCTGAGGGACAGGGATGAACAACTCTGGAAAATCTTCTCTAGCTGTCCTCCTACAGAACTGTAAATAGGTATCC